ACGTCTATACACACGCATACAGACACAGAACACACACACGCATATACACACCGACACGCACAAACACACGTACACACACACACACACACACACACAAACACACGTACACACACACACAAACACACGTACACACACACATAAAACACACACACACACGTTCCACTTCTCTGACTTGTTTTGTTTGTGTTTTAATTTTTCTTGTTGCCGTGGTTTCCTGCTCTGGGAGTCCTGGCCTCTGATTGGTGGAGCACTTCTACATCTGGCCAATCCCGTCTCACCTCCAGACTCCTCCCCCTATTTAAGGAGACTGCAGCACCTGTTCAGGGCTGGGGTCACATTTTGTGTTTCAGTGTGTCTCTGTGTGTTTCAGTGTGTATCTGTGTCTGTGTGTGTCTCTGTTAATTAAACCTTATTTATTTTATATACCATTTTCAGTATTTCAATATGTTCCAGTGTGTCTCTGTGTCTGTCAGTGTGTCTCTGTGTCTGTCAGTGTGTCTCTGTGTGTGTCAGTGTGTCTCTGTGTGTCTCTGTGTGTGTCAGTGTGTTTCTCTGTGTGTGTCAGTGTGTCTCTGTGTGTGTCAGTGTGTCTCTGTGTGTGTCAGTGTGTCTCTGTGTCTGTCAGTGTGTCTCTGTGTGTGTGTGTGTCTCTGTCCTTATTTTTATATACCATTTTCAGTATTTCAATATGTTCCAGTGTGTCTCTGTGTCTGTCAGTGTGTCTCTGTGTGTGTCAGTGTGTCTCTGTGTCTGTCAGTGTGTCTCTGTGTGTGTCAGTGTGTCTCGTGTGTGTGTCAGTGTGTCTGTGTCAGTGTGTTTCTGTGTGTGTCAGTGTGTTCTCTGTGTGTGTCAGTGTGTTTCTGTGTGTGTCAGTGTGTCTCTGTGTGTGTCAGTGTGTCTCTGTGTGTGTCAGTGTGTCTCTGTGTGTGTCAGTGTGTGTCAGTGTGTCTCTGTGTGTGTCAGTGTGTCTCTGTGTGTGTCAGTGTGTTTCTGTGTGTGTCAGTGTGTCTCAGTGTGTGTGTCTCAGTGTGTCAGTGTGTTGTGTCAGTGTGTCTCTGTGTGTGTCAGTGTGTCTCAGTGTGTTTCAGTGTGTCTCAGTGTGTTTCAGTGTGTCTCTGTGTATTTCAGTGTTTCAGTGTGTCTCAGTGTGTTTCAGTGTGTCTCAGTGTGTCTCTGTGTATTTCAGTGTTTCAGTGTGTCTCAGTGTGTCTGTGTGTCTCTGTGTGTCTCTGTGTCTCTGTGTGTCTGTGTGTCTCTGTGTGTCTCAGTGTGTTTCAGTGTCTCTGTGTGTTTCAGTGTGTCTGTGTATTTCAGTGTGTCTCTGTTAATTAAACCTTATTTATTTTATACCATTTTCCACCTTGTTTTTTTTTTACTTCCCTGACCCAAGAACAATACACACACACAACACACACACGCCTCACAACACACAACACACACAACACACACCACACACACCATTCAGTAATCAGACTTCACTGACCAAAACATTTCTCCCAAACTCATTCTGACTCATTCAAAGTTCAACACTTTGATTTCACTTTCATCTTTTAACTTTGGTCTTGGTTAAGAAATTTAAGATGTTTTTAAATGATTTGATAATAAAACCAAATCAAATCCTCTTCAGAAAGCTTTTCTGCAATGCTGAGTTTTATGAAAGTGTCAGACTTGTGTGTCCGCAGAAACATGGTGACCTCAGAGAAAGAGACGTCCTCGGTGGATCACACTGAATCACACTGAACTAAACACTGAACTAAAACACCAAACGTCCTCTTTGGGAAACATGGCTGTAAGAGAAAACAAACCAGAGCAAAACCTAACGCAGCGCTTTGAACAAATGGCCCTTGTGACGAGTTTAGAATTAAAACAAACAAGCGGCATCAGGAAACAGAAACTTTAACTGAGCTACAGAAACCATCTCCAAACAACAACAGAAGCAAACAGTATAAAACAACAATCAAATATAAACAACAAAGAAAAACATCTTAACGTGTCATTTAACACTTGTATTTTTGACACTACACATCGGCCAACTCCACAGTCTGGAGTCTCTGAAGCCTGATCTCCAGCTTCTTGAGTCTGACTTTAGGCTCACTTGATCCGGCCTCAGCAGCTCTTTCTCCTTTCCCCACAGACCCCAAATCCTTCCCTCTTTCTTCACAGTCGTCTGGTTCGTCTCCTGTGTGCGTTCGGTAGTGACTGGACAGTTCCTGGGATGTTCTGAAGAACTTTTCACACTGGTCACACTCGTATAGTCTGTGCCAGAAGTGAACTTTCATGTGTGTATTGAGACTGGAAGAGTGAGAGAAAGTTTTCTCACACTGGTCACATCTGTATGGTTTTTCTCCAGTGTGGACTCTCATATGTCGTTTTAGGTTGCCTGACTGTGAAAATGTCTTCTCACAAACATCACATTGAAATGGTTTCTCTCCAGTGTGGACTCTCATATGTGATTTTAGGTTGCCTGACTGTGAAAATGTCTTCTCACAAATGTCACATT